AAAGGGAAAAGGGAAAAGGGAAAAGGGAAAAGGGAAAAGGGAAAAGGGAAAAGGGAAAAGGGAAAAGGGAAAAGGGAAAAGGGAAAAAAAAAAAGACTTGGGCAACTTTATCCAGTTGCTAGATGAACAGTTAACATGCTCTCACTAACATCTTTTATAAAGGCACTTCCATAATTTTTCTATCCAAAATGCCTGCTAAGGCACTCTATAAAACCCTAACCAAAAGCATAGAAAAGAAGACAAAGAAAATCTTAATTGAAACTGCTACACTTTTACTGTGATACACCTCCACAGGCTGTCCTGAGGCGTTGTAGTCTCCAATAATGGAAATACACAAAACTTAACTAGGCACTGTCCTAGGCAATCTGTCCTGGGTGGGGTGCATTAGATGCTCTCAAGAATTCAGTTCCAAACTAAATGGTTTCACAATTCTGACTAATAAGGCCTGCAAATATTAGGAAACAGCACAGAAACAGAAGAAGTTCTTAGATCTAAAGGGAATTAAGCAAACCACAGCAAATGAAATGAAATTACACAAAAGAAATTAGCTGGTCAGCAACTTTGTATTTCATCTGAAAAGATGCTAGAAGAACAGAACATTAACATTACCCATATGTATTCATGCTTTCAAATTACTTGTCTTTACACAAAGGATTCATATCAAATGTAATCTTAAAATGGATTAACCATCTACAAATAATTTCATCAGTTGACTTTCAAACCACTTGAAGAATTTTACTGAAGTCCACTCAGTAAATCAGGCCATTTTAGTTCAAATTCAAATTCAGAATATCTTCACAAAACTTCTTTACAAATTTAATCACCTTAGAGAAAAGCTGTGGTGAAAAAGCTGCCTAATTGATGAGGCCATCACCTCTTTCACGTATTAAAATCTGGCTTCCCCCTTCTGTATGTAATATATGCATGCTTAAACCTGTCAAATGTATTGATGGATTAGTAAAATAGTAAAGCATGTAGATGTCTACCCTGCAGTACTTTCAGAGAATCTTTGCTTAAGAGATTGCTGCTCCACTTTCTTTTTTATTAATAATCTGAAATATATCCTGAACACATGCATCCCCTTTCGTTCAAAGGATGGTATCAATTGGATTCTACCTAGAGCTGGAGAGATCACTGAATAGGCTATGTTTTCAAAAACTGTAACTAGAGTCCTGTTCTTTTTTTGCCTGCTTTCCTCAACAAAAGATAATCTGATAAGTGATCTGACAAAGATCTAAGAATGGCAAGATAACGTGCAAGAAACTTAAAATAAATACATTCCAAAATACTTTGCTGACTTCAACACCTGTGGAATGCGTTCTCAAGGAACAAGTACAAATGCACATGTAATTCAAATTAATCTAAAGGGGAAATCAGATGCTTAACTACAATTTGTACACATCAAGTTATCAAAGCCACTAGAAATTCAGATTTGTACTGTTTCTTCAATGTTTCTACATATAATGCTCTTTAAAAATACTACATGCTACAAGGTTTTAGTAATATATAATTTATGTTCAACTAGTAAACAAGCAGAGCACAGGACTTCCTTCTGCATCCACCAAATTTTGTCTTAATAGTGCACATCTGCATACTAGGTATAGTAAACTGTATCTTTATGGAGAGTTTCCTTAACATCTGTCACAAGACATTGAAGATATCCCCTAAACATTTAGCATTGTTTAGCATTTCCAAACAGGTTTTTCACTACACAGCTCATTCTCCCCGCAGATCTCCTATGAAACATGATTTCTCACAAAATCTTGATTCTAACCCATGGCAGGAATCAAATGCCAATTGTCATGTGTATCAATACTGTTTGAGGCAGGAAACCTCTACTAACTTTCAGGTAGATGCTTTCTTCTGATGGCTTCATCAGGCCAGACCTTCATAGCTTTAAGCAGATGACATCCCACGTGAAAATACTGTTTTGGCACCTGCAACATAAGGTGTCGCTTCCCTCTCTGCCATATACCTTTGGTGTAATCCACGTGTTTGGCAGAGAACTTTCTCTGATTTCTAGAACAAGACCTCACATAACAAATGGTTTTTATATTTTATTAAGTACACCTATTAGTGATGAATGACAACTGAAGAAATTAGGATGGACCAGCTTCCTATGAAGGGAAGCCACAGGGCAAGACGCAGAGGAGGAACTTTTTCAAGTACACCCATAATTACTCATTAAACCTTTCCTTCTCAGAAACAGCTTGGGTATATGTAATCCTGATGCAAGGTTGGGAGAGAGATGAAATTACCTCCAAAGGTTCCTTCCAAACTTAAAATTCTCTCAAAACCCCTCTGCATGATCATTTCCCCCCGAAGTTGCACAAAGCAGCGCCTCGATACTTTTACTATTTCAATTCAAGCGAACCGTGGCCTCTGGAAGGGCGAACAAACTCAGCGTCAGGACAGGTGGTTTCACGCAGGGCAGGGGCCCGAGCCCGATTTAATTCCTGGAGGCGCTGCTGCTCCTCCCTGCTGGCCGGAGCGAGACGCGAACCCGCGAACCCGCGCTCCCACGGGCCGCGCCCGCCCGGCCCCGCCCGCGCTCAGGTACCTGGCAGCGGCTCCGCTGCTCCGCCAGACCCGCAGCTCTTCCTCCAGGCCCGCCACCCGCTGCCTCGCCGCCTCCGAGCCCCCCGAAGCCACCGCCGAAAGCGTCGCGCCGCTCCTCCTGCGGAGACGGCGAGGGGAGAGGAGGGAGCGGGCTCAGGCGGCCCCCGCCCGCCCGCGCCTGGGGGAAACGGGGGAGCATCAGCGCCGTGAAACACGCAAATGAAAACTTTCCGCCGCACTTGCGGCGCGGGCGAGCGCCGGAAACCGCAGGGAAGAAAGTGGACGCGGTGCAATGACGTCACAGCGCTACCGCCACCGCGGCGAGGAGAAGGGGCGAGGGGCACGTTTGAATTCGCCCGCCCGAGGCGCGGCGCCGCGCATGCGCCGTGCGGGCAGACTGGCTGGGCGCGGGGAGCCTGCCGCTGCCCGCCCCCGGGCGCCTCTGTCCGGCCAAGGTCCCGAGCGAGGCGTGCGAAATCCCTGAGAAACCACGGGATCCATCCCTAGCACTTGTGTCCCACCTCTTTTAGATCTTGATGTTTACATGTGGAGCGTACAGGTCAGACTCATAGGATGGGTGAGGCTGGAAGGGACCTCCGTGACCATCGTGTCCAGCCTCCCTGTTCAAGCAGGCTGATCCCAGAGCACATGGTACAGGATCGTCCTCCAGTGTCCCCAGTGAGCGAGACTTCACCGCCTCTCTGCGAAATCTGTCCCAGTACTCGATCACTGCACAGTGAAGTTCCTTCTCATGATCGGGTGGAGCTTCCTGGCCTCTGTTTTTGTCCATTGCCTCTTGTCCTGTTTCTTGGAGGACAGGACCGAGCAGAGCCGGGATCCATCGCTGACCCCCTGTCTTCAGATACTCGCAGACATTGATGGGCGTTCCTATCTTAATGGTGTTCTGCAAGGTGCTGAGGCTCCAGCATATCCGAGTCAGAAGTCTCGTGCCTTTTTCTCTTTGTTTGCTTTTTTTTCCCTCTGAATTAAATACTAACAATTGCAAGACAAGAGTCAGAGTCCTGGGTTTAGATTAGGTCTTGATAGTGTTTTATGAGCACACGTGCTTCTCAGGAAGTTTCTCAGATTTATAACTTCCAAGAGCTGGCTTTCAGAGCCTGCAACTGTAAGCAAAGGAAGGCTTCAAAAATCTAACCATTACAAATATGACAAATATTTCAGCCGGTGGCACTATGTATTCTGTTTAAGATACAAATACGTAGAGTAGATGGCTTTGTAATAAAGGGTTTAACAGCATTGCCAAAGCAAATCACTGTAGCCTACATGCGTGGTTGCACTCTGTGGCCACAGTGGAGATCCACCAGCCAGCACACACCCAGTGGCCAGAGGGCACTCACGGAGTGGCCACCCCCGATCTCTGCCCAGACCACCTAGGGTGGTGGTGATCGCTGCGGCGTGGGTGGCAGAGCAGAGGCACAACACGAGGAGTCCAGGGCAAAGGAAAAGGCAAGGATCACTTGACTCAGTTTCCAAAGAAAGCTTATTCCCTGAAGGGGTCAGGAACAAGTGAGAAGACCTCAGGCTCTGAACAGTGTTTTAAGAGGGGAGGGTAGAAAAGGTGGAAACATCTCTTAACCAATAAAAGAATCCCAGGGGTGGAGTACATCACTGAATGTGTCCAATGGGGTTTACACAGGGGGGGGAAGAAGCCTTACAAGCCAATTCTCTTTTAAGGAACTGAGTGGAATATTGTAGAACAAAAGGGGTGTAGCAACTCTGACTGACAAGGGTAGGGGGCAGACAATGGCATATAAGGGGATAAGGGGAGGAACAGGGAAATTGAGGTAAGGATGGACAGACAAGTGACAGGGAAGCTTTGTGGTAAACAACTTAGGAACAAACCGTTGGGGGAACAAAATGGGTATGTTTTGAACCTAGGTACCACTAGAACTTACTAATAAATCTAACTTTCACATTAAAAAAACAACTGCAAAACGCCAAACTACCACATATATGGGAAGCAAAAACTCAAAAGCATAGACTTTCGCCCAAACAAATGGAGAAAGAAGTTGAAATACAGTTGGAATATATTTTAACACAGAAATTGCATTTCACCAATGCCAGTATCTTACTACGGAAATACAGTACCTGGTTTTATAGAGAAATATGTTTTCTTTTCCTCTCCATTGTAACTTTTCCATGGTTCTGGAAAAGTTGCCCTGAATATATGATTGTGACAAGAAATAAAACTCTTTGTGTTTGTGTATGTGTACATGGAGATAAGCATGTAAATTAGGATATACATTAAAATGTCCAGTCCTTCCACCTGTGGCCCTAGTAGAAAGATTCCTGCATCCTTGGTGATAGCTGTGCCTGGCAAGTTGACTTTTTATCGCATTGATGTCCAGGAGCCCTTCTCAGAGGTAGAGAATGGCTACAGTACCATTTTTTCAATTAAAATTTTTACTATTACTGCAAGTATTATCTGCACAATTAGAAATGTAAACATAAAGGTGGAAGACTGCATTTGAGTCTTCTCTGTCCAGTTATATGTAGATTTAAGGAGATTCAACAATTATTGGATCAATACTACATCTCTCCTTAGAACAGCCTGTCATTTATCTTTGTGTGTTATTAAATATTCAAATGTTCATATGACCATCATGTCAATTCTAACATGTTTACATTTTCAACTTTTTCTTTGCTTTTAGGATCTCCTAGTTCTCTTCTACCATAAATTCATTATCCAGTCACTATGTAGCCTTCACTTTTTCCACATCTCTGCCTTTTAATAACCATATTTTTAAGTTTTTCATTTGTTTCCTAATATTTTTATCATTGTCCCCTTGACCATTTGTTCCCTATTACACTTGGGCAACAAGAAGCTAACTTTACTTAAAAAACAATGTGCTTAGCTTAACTGCTGAACAGCTACAATGACTAAACAGGATTTAAAAACATCTTCCAAGTAAAAGGTCATTCAAAGTTGAGCTGAGAAGATTCAGTTCTTACAGAGGCTAGACTCAAAGCTTGACAGAACACAAAACAACAGACGGCAATTCCCTAGAAATTTAGAACCTTAAAAAATAAATGTGTGTATTTACTATTTGTGTAGATACAACATGTTACCACAATAAACACAAAAGTAACACTTCCCCATAGCAAGATACTTATTTTAAGGGCATAATATTTTTGTATGTTGTTTAACTAACATCACATTTGTTTTCCTGCTATTTCATAAGCTTATTCTCTGTAATATAAAGTTTCTAGTTATTAACCCAGACAGCATTAATGATAATTCTTAGAATATTAGGGAAATTTGAAATGTTGAGTTGGCAAGTTTTGGTGAATTGGGAGACATTGACTTGTATTGGAGTATTTTGTACATTATGTTTCTCTCTAATCTTCATATTTTGGAACCCCTCAATTTACAATTATCAAATCCATGAGACTGTTAGTCTAAATTCTTCCAAAATTATTTTCCCTTTGATTTCACTTTTATAAAATTAAACAACATCTATTGAAAATGCATTGCTCAATTGAAACTTATTTGTTATGGCTTGTACTCATTTACAGTTCCTGTGAATGTTACACAAATGGAAATGCTCCCCAAGTAGCTTTGGTGACAGAAACAAAAAAAGTATTTTTATTTGGTGGAGGTTTTTTTTTCTTGTGCTTGGGAAATTTCACATCTTTCTTTGAAACATGTTCATATTACAAACATGTTGCATTTACTCCTGATGACATAATTACTTTTTTTTTCTGATTGTATATTTTTTTCTTATCTTAATGTGAAATATAAAATTACTCCATTCATTTTGATAATCCCAATGCTTCATTATTAGAGGTAAAGACATGTAAGTACATACTAGAACATTTTCATTTTCCTTTAAACAAAAAATGCCCTTACTAATCTGATTTGAATTAAAAGTGTTAAAATGTTACACTAAATTACTTGCATTTCTCCTTGGATTTTTTATGTTGACTGTTCATGTTTGTTGCTAGTAGTTTGCTAGGCAACAGCATCATCAAACAGGTACTTTCTGAGAGATATTTGTCAGCTAATCTGAACAAAAGAAGTCAAAATTGCTGAAGTTATTTCTAGCAGGTTTTGGCAATGTCCTTATAATTTAAGGAATTTGTATGTTTCTCAAGAACATATTACAACCCTAGAAATATGCTTGTTCTTGTTAGGTAATGAATTCAAAAATTATTTGCTTCCAGTGAAAGTTTCTGGAGGTTTTGTGATGTTGGTTTGAGTTTGGGTTGGTTTGGTGGTTTTTGCTTGTGTATGCATTCAGGGCTATGGGGAACATTTTTTCCACTTCTATGACATCTGTATATAATAGCATGATTACAGTCATAGGAAGAATGGGTGTATAACAGTGAAAAGGTCTGTAAGGAGAAGTAACATCTGATATTGGATCATCTGCCATAACCAAGACATCAGACAGATCATTTGGTTGTTAGGGAAAAAAAAAGAAAAGGTGAAAAAAGTTTTTGACAAAATTTACATTTCTTGTTTCCAACTGCTTGTAATAAAAGATACTGCTTCAGACCTCATTTCTACAATTATAACATATTCATATTGAATTAGCTGATTTTGAAAAACTGGAGCTGGAAAAGGTCAGCACAGAAGCCTAGATTCACTGATGTACAGGCCTGGAGTTCCACCACAAGCACAGTTCATTTTTCACCCAGTGAAAAGAAAGTACCATCTTAATCTCATAAGCAGAGAGTAAGATAGCAGAGGTCTGATTTGCTCCTGAAAAGACATAAGGTAGAACTAAGTAACCTCCATAATATATCAATTTTATTGCTTTAGTTTACTGCATACTTTTCTACTGCACACTATACTATACCTAAAGGCTGAGTAAGCATCAATCAACAGGTTACACTCCCCAGAAGGACTACATCATGATACCAGAGGAGTCTATAACATGGTCCTGTTCCACTTACCTTTACCATGGAGAAGGCTTCAATGTTTCATTGTCTTTTTTTAAATGAGGTCACAGACCTTGGCACTACACCTTTCAAGGCAATGAAAAATAAAAGTCACTAATATAAAGTCAGCCAAACAAAGCACAGAGGGAGAAGGTGATTAACAGCTCTGGATGAAGTGCCTGCCCCATAGCACCTGCCAGAAACGTGAGGCGTCAGGGAGGGCTGGACAGCTGAAGGTT